CAGACAGCAGCAGCAGTCGCAGCCGAGCGGACGGAGGTTCCACCGCCGGTAAGGCGGGGTTGTTGAAACGGGCTTGATGTGAGGGACCGGGGAAAGATAGGCAAGTCCAACAGGAATGTGTCAACAAGGAGCAGGTCTAGCCTTTTCCGCCCCTCCCTCCCTCTCAACTCCCGTTCGCCCCTTAGTCGATGTCCCGTGTCAGAAGCCGATAGGACGAAAGCCTCTGCCGGACAAAAAACCGGCGGGGGCGGAATGGCTGCAACCCTGCCCCCCGGCATGTCGGTCCCTCCCCCAAGTAAAAAAAAAACAAACAGATATCACCTCGGGGTGGTGGTGCTTCCATTGACGCAGCTCTTCCCGTAACCGCTGCTCGGAGAGCATACGCTCCCGGAGGGCGTCGCGGTGTGCCCTCTCCAGGCAGCATGCCTTGCGCTCCGAGACGGAGCGTGCGTCCTCCGCCCGATGGCTCTGGCATACGTTTTTCGTCGAGAACAGCAGTATAGAGATTTAGAAGCGCACTACTGCGCGTGAGGGAACTGTGGTGATGTGGTAAGGTGGTCACCGTGAAAAGAGGGCTGTTGCCCCGTGTTATCGCCGCAGCCTCATATTGAACTCGACCCACTTCATGCGAACAACTGTATGTTCGTACGAACGTGTCTACTAAAATTTGCGCAAATAAATGTTCGCAGTACATTATCTGCTGTGCCAGACGACAAGTGTGCATGTATTATTGGACAAGACGAACATTTGTTATTTCGGGCGCATACTATACAGCATGCACCACACTGCTTTGACTAAACCAGGAACGACCAAAGCCATTTGAGCTGGAAAACTCATGTAGACGGTGCATGTTGTCACGGATTGCCTGTAGCCAAACAACAGCTATCTATAGACTGATTGCTACAGCACCTGCACAGCCAACAAAATTGCAGCTTTGCTCCCTGCTCTCATCTCACTCTCACTTACTCACCAGGTGCCGTAGCTTCGCGTGCATGAGCAAGATTATGCGGTCCTTTTCCGCTTGGCTCAAAATACTAAGCGCTTCTTTGGCGAGAGCATCCGATGATGATGGTACGGGTGGCGGTGCTCGCAAGACGTGTGTTCTTGAAGGAGCATCCTCGTCGCTTGGGTATGCCTGCGATTTTTCATGGATGCACATGGTACATACATCACGAAGTCTAGCATAGTCATCGTATGGGAGGGAGGGCAGTAACATATGGTTAAAAACATGTACCACCAGTATCGTCGTTTTTCGTGTAGTGCAGTACAGTCCAGACCACATCGTCGGTGGTATTTCGTGCATGGTATGTACGGTACTACGTATCTTGTTCAATACTAGCGCCTCTCTCACCTCCTTCGTGTCGCCACAACAAGTACACCCCATCATCGTAGCTCGGCAAGTACATTCTGTTCTACGTGTAGGCTGATCCCAGCGCACGGCTGCCTCAGATGATGATGATGATGGTGGTGATGATGACAACGACGGCTCCGTCGAAGACACATCTTGTATTTCCCCCGACGAGATCGAAGCGAGCACGCGAGGGCGCAAGGGGCAACGGGATACGCATACATATTTAAATTTAGTTGAGCGGATCGAGGAGAAGGAAAAGACGGACCGGGGTGTGGCGGACGCACGGACCCAAGGGCACAAAGCGGATGACTTGCTGGATGATGACCCCCTGCAAGCCTCAAGAAGAATCCTCTGCTGAAAAGGTTCGTCTTGCTGAGCTGGGGAATGCAGGTCCCAACGGCTCCTTGAGATCTTTGGAGACCAACCAAGGTGCTGCCATGTTGCTGCTGACAGCTCACGTTGGATCTACATACATACACCGTTTCTTCTCCTCTGCCAACAAGATCCGACACTGCATTACCGCCCCCGTAGTGTGAAGCTCGCCCGTTTACTGCACCCACGCAACTTCACCTAGGACATGCTGAAAGTACTTTGTCTTGAGCCCAGATATGCTCGACGGTGGCTCCCTCGTGCTCATGTGCGCTAAATGCTGTCGAAAGATCGGGTGCGTAAGATGGGGGCTGGGGGAGTAGCCCAACAGGGAGGAAACAAAGCCTGCCAGAAATATCACCTATCCCATGTGCTGTCACCCTCCCTCGTGCCTGCGCATTTCGTGTGCGCCAGCGGGTGCACCGTAACGCCTCCAGAACCCGAACCACGAACCCTATTCGGAACTTTTCCAACGTCCACCTTCCAAAAAATATCTGGAAACTTCCGAGAAAATGCCTTGGGCCCAAGAGAAAGCTCGGCCCATTGTCCGGTTGAGGGGAACATCATGAGCACATGCATTCTCGCGCACCCCCATCGCACAAAACCACGGCACCATCCCTCGCCGTTGCGTTACAACAAGTCGCAACTGGTTGGAACGTCACCGCTCCTGTCCGCGTTTGCTCCGACGACTTCCGTGAGGAACCCTCTTCTTCCTCCTTCCTCCCCCTCTCTGCAGCAGCACGACGAGAGACTGCCAGGTGCGTGCGGGAAGCTCGAGCTACAGCAGTGTAGCAGGGGTGGAAGACGGTTTCGGACCACTTGGGGCTTTTTCAGCCACTGCTGGAACCTTAGACGTCTAGTTGGGCCAGCATTTCGAGAAAGATTGAGGTCTGGGTGGCTCTGTGGCTCTGTGGCGGCAAGTACAGTTTTGGGAGAGATTCCGACAAGTTAGCGGAGTGTTCGACTAATAAAGCACCTTTGCATACGTTACCCACATTCTTCTTCGACGCCACAGCCCGGTCAGAATCTGCAAGGTGCCAACACTCACATAAAGACACACGGAAAGAAACTACACACAACCGTAGCAGAGTGAATGAAAGAACCCTAAATGCAACCAACAGCGTGCTTACCGTTTGGTCTCCATGTTGGTCTCCATGTTGGTCTCCATGTCGGAATCCACGCCGCGTTGCCCTACCTATTGTAGCGCGATCCAATGCACGCCAACCTACGACTTGCCAACGGACGGTGCACTGACCTCACACCAACCGGTGGTATTTCGGTTAGGGATTGGGCTGGGGTAGGTTCAATAGCGAGAGATGCAAGCAAAGTGGGAAAAGACTTGCGTCTTGCTGTATCAACCAATACTTTCGACAAAGAAAGTCGTAACGTTGCCCCTCCTCACAGAAAGGAACACAACTATACTACAGTGTAGTAAGGGACGTTTTTGGCAACAAAGACACGGCAAGTTTTCTTGGTCTTGTAAGCAGAATGCGACTTTCTACGGTTGATCTCGCTACTATTGGCTGATCAAATGACACACATGCAAAAAAGCAACGGTTCCAAAACTTCAACCCGGCAGGCATCGCTTTCCCTCATTGTTTTTATCATCTTCGCTTCGTACCCCCCGTGGTGCTCGTTCTCGTGCGCATTGCCACGTAGGAAGACAGCAGCACTATGTCATCGAACGTCGCAAAGCGCACCTACGAGCCTGGCGAGATGGGGAGAGGGCTGATCGAGACGGTGCTCACCCTGCCGCGCCGGTTGGTGCGAACGTCTCGCCTAGAAGACATGACCGACGAGGAGAAAGCCTTCGCCTGCCTCAGCAGCGAGGTCTACAAGAAGCCCGGCAACGACGACAACGACAACAACAACCCAGCAAGCGACGAGCATCGCGGGGCACCCTGCGGATACACCCTCCTGCGGGGCGAGATACCCGCCGCAGCAGGCGACGACGGGCCCGCCGTGCGCTTGAACGACACGCGCTGGGCCGCGTTCCGCGCGCCCAACCAGGTAGACCATGTCCTCGCTTTCAGAGGCACGGCGGACAGGCGGGACGCCTTGAACGACGTGCTGCTGTTCCACGGGGATTTCGACCAGCACAAGTACATGCTGAACGCCACGGTGTGGGCGCTGCGTGTGAACTGTTCTTGTCAAAACAACACAATAACGGCAGCGGCGGCGGCGGCGGCGGCGGCCTCAGGTTTTCGGTGACGGGTCATTCGCTCGGTGGCACCGTGGCGATGGGAGTTATGGTCCTGCTCCACGACATCCCCACCACCGCCAGGCGTCGTCCGAACGACACGAGGTACCAGCAGCAAGTCTTGGGCGCTTGGAACGCGGAGAGGGCCAATTGGAGCGGGGCGGCCGCGCCGTACGAGCTTGTCGGCGGACACATTTTCAATCCCGGCGCCTGGCCCGGTCTAGTCGGTCCCGTTGCGGGAGGATCGGCGGTGGCCGGTTTCTGGCTCACCGGTGCGTTTACGTTGACGGGTGCCGCGGCCACCGCTGCGATGTGCGCCGTCACCGTCGGCTCTGGTTGCGCTCTGGCGCTGTACCTCTACCGTAGCCACACCGAGCGTTTGTCCGATCGCGTGGACAAGCGGGTGACGACGCATCACATCATCGGAGACGTAGTCTCGGGGTTCTTTCGCCTGGGCACGGAGAAGAACTACATGCCCAAAGACAAGAGGGCTCGTCGGCTGGCGACGGCTTGTTCGCCGGGAAAGATGGGCAAGGAGTGGGGGTGCCACAGCATCGCCAACTTCCTCTTCCCGGACAGCGCGGAAACGTTACCGGTGCGTATGTCGTGTGTCACGTCGAGGATGCGCGGTAGATCGAGGGAGAGACGGTTTTTTTTTAACACTTTTTGAACTGATAACCAGGACCATGATATATATGAAGCACTTCATTGGAATATGCGGAGGGTTTACGTCCATTTACTACTGAGGCGTTGAATATTGCAGTCCAGCTTGTGAGTGTTCTCTTGTCTGCATCGTACCAGTTCCAAGCGATCGACACATGAGGTTTGCTGACGCTTGACGTCTGGGGTGAGTCATTACGATTTTGGCAATGTGCCTCCAACGACTCGGGCGATGTTTCCAAACGCTGCATCGTCAATGGTCAGACTCTTTCGTTCTCATGGCCACCACCTCCCTCCCCTCCTCATCAGGCGGCGGCTTACTTGGAGCAGAAGGAAAGCCAGGAGTTGCAGCAAGCGCTCCTTCTTAGCAAGGGCTCTAACGTCGCCGGGGAGGGATCAGCAGCAGCAGCACCGGAGGGGGCGGCAGGGGCATGGGCAACAACCAACTACGGGGACTATGACGAAGAGGAGATACGGGAGGCCCTTCGACGCAGCGCCGCCGAAAGCGAGGGGGGAGCCTGGGAAGAGGAGTCGTGGGAGGAGTTTGCAGATATGATGGCTGGTAGCATGTTGACCAACGAAGATCAGGAGGTATGTGCGGCCATTCGTCGCAGCGTTGCCGACACGGCGGCTGCAGAGGTTGCAGGTATGACTGCCAATAGCATGTTGACCAACGAGGACGAGAAGGTATGGGAGGCCCTCTGTCGCAGCTTTGCCGACATGGTACCTGAGACGAGGAGAGTCGCGGAAGAGGAGGTGTGGGAGGAGTTCGCAAACATGACGGCTAGCACGTTGGCCTGCGAAGACCTGGAGATACTGGAGGCACTTCGTCGCAGCGTCTCTGACACGGCCGTCACTTCGAGGGAAGCCGGGGAAGAAGAGGTGTGGGACGAGTTCACAGACATGGCGACAGTGAGTAGTATATTGTGCCGCGCGGACAGTCTGGAACTAAACAGAAGTAGAATGAGAGCACCACGACGGGGAAGTTGAATGAAACGGGGGACGCTTAGTTGTGCCGACCAAGGAAAGACGAAGACAGATTCAGCTTTGAGGAGGCATTGCGGCACTGCTGCTGCGGCTCTGGATACCTCAGCCTCAGCATCGAATCTCAGCTTTCCAACGCCCGCACACTGCTCGTATTTAGCTCTCTACGACGTTGCCTTTCAAGTCGCGACTCCTCGAAAGGGAAGAAACGAAGAACGCTCTTGAGCGCCCGCCGTGTTTGCTGTTTCGTCTTGCTTGTGCAAAGGTTCGTGGAAATTGTCATCTTCGTTGGAATGGGGGAGTGGGGAGGTAGACTGCATGTGAAAGTGGGGGTGCAGATGAAGACCGAATGATGCGTGCGTAGTATGTGGAAATAGGCCCCCCCCCCGTGACCGTCGTTCTGTGCGAGAACAACGCGAGTTTTTAGTGCGCAACACCGGGCCTCGCGTGTCGAATGGGGGTAATGGGCTCCTTTAGCTTTGAATACGTTGTCTTCAATATTGTCCGAGAGATAGACATCGTTTGCGTTGTTTGACACCCTGTGGCCTTCGTGTGATTATTTGTTTTTAATTGTTTTATTGCGCTGATTTCTGAGCCTATGGTATATTCTCTCATTGATCTTCGTAAGAAGGGTGTCTACCCTCTGTTGGGATGGCTGGTTGTATTTGTCGTTACGGTGATACTACAGAAAGAGATGCTGTCCGCGTCCGTTGAACCGGTAATTTCAGAAGGTGCTGGGCAGAAACCGGACGTTTGTTAGTGTGAAGGCGGCAACAAGAACAACAAGAACAACAACGCTCTCCCACTTATTATCTATCTGGTGTATCATTGTTGTACTTTTTCGGTACAAGACTTGTAGCATGATGATGGGTGTACCTTGGTATGTATACCGTCTTCTTTTATTACGAGCTTTTCCCCTGGATTGTCCCGAAACCAACGCACCAGCGCAAGCAGGCAATACTTCCGGGTGTTCCTGTAGTCCGGATGGGTCGGTCCGGGCGAAGAAAGAAAGGGAACATAATGCATGTACGTGCGCCGTTAGGGTGTTGGTGGGAATCCAACGAACGCCGGAAAGAAAAGAAAATCTTCCTCGAACGAATGATGAATGCTATGCATATGTACATTGATTATGGCTCATACATTTTGGTTTGCCTCTCTGTCGTCACCCTAACTCCACATCGGCCGCTAAAACAAGACGATGTCGCATACTGCTGTAGCGATATTTTGCTCAGGGCCGTGCCAGGTTTCCGCCATTATTCACGGCCCAGAAGTTTGCTTTTCACTTGTTGCCAGATTTAGTTAGAAAATCGCTGATGATGCATGTATGTGAGTTGTTTTTAGCGACGTCCGTTCGAACGGCCGAGAGGATAAGGACACACAGGCCGGACACAGACGCGCGCGATATCGAGATTCCTGCTTCAACATGCACAACGTGGACCCAACGAAGCGGTTCAGTATCCGCAGTTGCTCTGGGAGATGACACATGAGGATCCAAGGTGAGGACAGTGTGCCCCCAACACCCCCCCTATAACCTATAAATCAACGTGCGGGGCCCCAGCGACAACGTTAAGGAGACAACCTGAACCAGCACAAAACAAAGCTGAGCTGTGCGAAGAAACAGCAGGCCACGAGTGTAGCCCTTTTGTGTGATTATGCTCCCTGCATCTGCACCGACTGCGAGGGGCTTGCTTCATGTCGCTCTGGCAGGTACGACGCATCACGAAGCGTATAAGGTGCTGATATCTTTGTTGTGTGCCGCAGACAGCAAAACATTCCTTAGGAGCAACGAGTTGTCTCGTATGCATACCTTGCATAGACTACTATTTAACAACAACAACCGCGGCGCAAAGAGAGCATGATGCATCTGTGTGTCTGTGTACATGTTTTCCCTCCTGCTCGTGCCGAGCGAAGATGCCATACCTACTCCCTGATATGGTAGATGATACTCCCTGATATGGTAGATAAAACAGGCGTGTGTCGTCAAACCTCTTCGCTGGTCGGTCGCGCTTTTCATACCACTTTGCCGGCGACAGGTTCCAGCAGACCGTCCGCCGCGTCATGTAACCGGAAGATCGGCAGGACCAGTGCGCTAGTCAATGCCGTCAGGAGAAGCAGTGGGTTCAGCGTCGGTGCGCCGTTGTCCACCCGTTCAACGGCCTCCCCGCTCGCTACTGGCAGCACCAGTAGCCTGCTAGGCATACGCACCGCGCCGGACGAAGGAAGCGGCGCAACAACGCTTTCTACAATGGTTGCCGCCGCCGCCGCCGCCGCTGCGGCGTTGCTTTGCGCGCAGCAGGAGCTGCAGCCGCGGTGGGAGGAGGATGGTGTGTGTCTGTGTAAGGGCAAGGCTAGCGCTGCGGACAGGTGCGCCAGCCGTCTTTTGGGTTTTATTTGTGGCATCAGTGGCATCAATGACAACAACAACATTGGCGCCCCCCTCCCCCTGCTCGGCAGACTTATCTACTTCGGTCTACTGCTGTAGGTGATTGATAGCCCCTCAAACCCACACTTGCAAAGAACAACAGCAGCAAGAAAACAACAGCCGCAAGAACGGCGTTGCAAGGCGGCTACGTCCTCTCTCCCGGCACACGCCCAGCTCCAGGCAGCGACCGGTATGCGGCACAAATTTGCGGCAATGGTTGTAGTTGGCGACGAACATCCGGTGTACTGCTGTAGAGACACATGGGGGGCACCGTTACGTCCGAAACCACCACCCCCTCTCTTTCGATACCACACACCCTAAAGGCTGCATACAGTCCCTTTGGTAGGGAACCGGCCCGGGTTGGTCAGCTTCCCTTTCCAAGACACCGAAATGTCATCGTCGTCCCCCGAGAGGTGCTGTTCAACGGGAGCTACTACACTACGGACGATTCAACCCCCAACCCGGTGTTTTGCGTTGCGTTGTTGTTGTTGAGCCTTGTGCTCTCCTGTTGGTGATGGCTGCCACATTTTCTTTTTTGTATAACGTGTGTGTGTCCCCCCGCGTGCCTCTTACAATGCAACGAAAATCTGCGGCCGATAAACGGTAACCGAATGGGCGGACGCGAACAAACGCGGGAAACAACAGCCTCGAGGACTACGCCAGGAGGCTGCAGAGGCTGCGCTCGCTGCGGGACATCTTCGAAGAGTACGCCACGGTTAACGCGGACGACGTGGGGAAGCTCATGACTTGCGGGGACTTTCTCAGGGCGATGGTGAGAGAGAGAGAGAGAGAGAGAGAGAGACCTCGGAGGCATACAGCAGGGAGCAACCCTGCGTCCCTCGAGTAGAGGGACCCGCCACCACCGCCACGACCCTCTTTGTACGAGCTATATAATCGCCGCGTGTTCTGCTCAAGTCTCCATTGTTTCGTTTTGGCCAACGTGTCGCGTCGCCTGAAGTCCCTTGAGAGCTACACGCCCTCCCCCTCGAAGACAACCATCCCCTATCCCCTAAATTGCCCGAAAAACGAATCTTCTTGCCGGTCATGGTGAATAAAAGCTGTGCTACAAGTACGTTCGAGTGGACGCCAAGGAGCTGAAGCGCCGCTGCGCCCGTTACATTAACCCTCTCCTTGGTGACGACCACGGCCTCATCTCCTTCGACGAGGTGTGATACATTCGTTTTTTTTTGTTTTTTTTTGTCGGTGTTGGTCATTATACTGTTAGTGTTGTCTCTATCTAGACGAGGTACATGGCGTGCGTGAGGTTGCCAGGAACTCGATACAGCAGAGCTTTCGGCACACCGTTGCTTGTTCACCAACAGCCAGTCCTTGCGGTTATCCTGATCCATTCCGGGCCGAACAGCATTCATTCCTGCTACCATGTGTGTGGCGGGATGTTTTTGAACCAAGGGACGCATGGATCGCTGGCGCCAGTGATTTTAGCCTGCCAGCTTTGAACGCCAACGCGGGCGCATCTAGCGGGCTTGATTGATTTGCATTTGGCTCATGGACAACAGCGTGAGTGCTCTGTCACAGCAGGCGTGCATCCTTCCTGACCCCGCCGTCTGTCGGTCGTACGCTTGCCTATACAAAATCGATCCTGTTTATCGACCCTCTTTGACACGGACGGCGGCGCGTATGTATGGGCGATGTGGGTGTGGGCAGTTCTGCTTTCTGCTGAACCTTTTGAGCATCCCCGCGGGCCTGCTGGAC